TAGTGATTTGTACCACTTGTAACATAAAACATACATACTGAGGTACTGATTTATGTTTTTTTAACTCTGAATCTTATGAATGAGCTCTTTTTAAATTAATTTCCAATCATCCACTTTATGAGTTGTTTGAATCCTACAATGGTTTACACTAAAAGTTTTTTTAATGATTATTTGGAGATAGTGAGATGAAGTCTCATGATCTCCAAATAATCATTAACTAAAGATCACTAAACACTACACACACGTTTTTTTATGTGCATACAAATTTGCAATTAATTTTACATCGAATTTTTTTGAATTCTTAATAATAGTAATGATAGGTTATGTAGTGATAAAATAATTTATAATTAAAACATGTATTTGTTATTAAATAGAAATATATTAGGACAAATATATATTGTTCTCAAATAGAAACTATTACCTTGTTGTTTGTGAAATAAATGTTGGTCATCTTAAAAATAAAGGCCTTGAAAGCTTCTAGTTGATCAAATTGACTGTATATCTATAATAAACAGATTAAATAGTGGTGTCTGTCAATTTCTCCTTGTCATAGATGTGTTCATTCTGATTAATCAGATTTTGTTACAAGATTTTCAAGAAATCCTGATTATTTTCTGGGGTCTACTTCTAGTCATTAGATTAACACAAATAGAGGTAGGAAATGGTATAAAAATCTCAGTTCAGTAGTAATTCTTAATTAATAGCATATATTTTTTAATAAATTGTAGGTTTTTGTTTTGTTTGTTCCATAACTTCTATTTAGTAACGACGGCGAGCAGTCTTCCATGTCGTGCGCCGTCGGACCTCAGTCATTTTGCACCTTGAAGCCCTCACTCGACGACGGTTATTGCACCATCCACCAGCAAAGTACATAATGAAGGCCGTAATGTTTTATTCAGCCAACGTTCACTGTATTTCAAATTAAAAAATTAGAAAGTCCCAGCGTTCAACTATGCACACTGAGAGATTCTATCTTCTCCGCATAGAATTAATTTCCTTTAGGGACTATGGGATAAATTACCATAGTGTGTACTAATTAAAAAAAATGACACGTGTGAAAAGGAAGTAATTAGATAATTTATTATTATTGATCGAATGCAGTGATCACACAAGCGTTTATGCATAATTCTATCTACTTAGGCTTTTTGTTACTTATTTTCTTTTATTTAAGCCATCGGTTATAATAAACCACTGTAAACAACAATGTACTAAGATCATTACAATATGTAAAATTGAAATTACCTCCATTTATATGATGTGTAAGTAGTTAAGACTTTGTCACCCTTTTGATTTTTCATGGCCGTCTTGGTTCTGGAAAACAGCGAGGAGAGGCGGACCAACACTCTCACAGACTTACAAACTGATGACGAAAAAAATTGATTTTCTAACCTTATCGATTTCGATATTGATTTATTTTAATACCCAGTCATCAAAACTCCATCGATCCATGCCTTCACTTATCATCACCCCGTTATTTTTTAAAACCGGATTTTAATCCTCCGGTATCGTAAAGATTCAAACGGCCTAAATGTTGAGAAAAAAAAATTACACGCTTTGGCAACTTCGCGCTCTGATTATTTTCCGCGGACACGAACCCTATACAAAAGGACCTCACGGTAAAGAAGTGTCAGTTTTATCAAATACCGTTGTGAAAATAGATGTCTTCCACACAAGAACTTCTTATACGACACATAATCTGGCTTTCATGCTTTCAAAGAAATCCCGTTTTTGGACAGAAACGAGTACAAACTTTATTCTTCACACGATCAACAAATCACGAATTTTCAATTACTTATTAAATTTTCCAATTAAATTAAAGTTTCCAAAAGGCCTAATACTTACGGTTTTGGCGTGGAGGCTTTGTCTGCTCACCTGTAAAACTTTTACAGAGAAAATTGGCAAATCAGAGACAATCATCAACAGTCAGCGTAATTTCGCAGTCTAACAAATTTTAACGACGTCAACCCACACCAAGTATCTTTAAAACACCCCGTGCTGATTGAATCAGCACACATAAAAAAGTTAAAAATTCTCTTTACGAGTTCAATTAAGTTGACTTCCATTTAGTAATTATAATTGTTGCATAATCAGATATTTAGATAATTGGTTAATAATTTATTTAAAATAATTTTGTTTATCTTGTTTTTTAGAGGTCCTTTCGTGGTACTTCCGGAACCATTTTAACATTGTTTTCCTGAGGCTTTTTAAACTGTTGACATTCATTTTACCATACAACATCTCAAATCGAAAAGCTCATTGTTTTTTCCTCTAAAAATCCTCCAACATCTCCATAAAAATGTTGATAGATAGATAAATAGTATATTGTTACCAAAATTTCTATTGCTTACAACGTCATTTTACATGATTTTGACTATTTATGTAAATTCTTGTTTGTTTTATACCTGATTTTGAATGAATATTTTCTTTAGCTCAACTAAAAAATTATTATTCTATAAATTTTTTAATTTTCCGGATTGCATGTATAAGTTTCTGTGAAAAGACCTCAGGGCTATCAATTGTTTTTGTTTTTGTGAGCACAATTTTATTACATGATTGGTCATGTCATAAACATATTGGGCATCTGAACAATAAATTTATTATTTTATCAATTGTTACCGGATTTACGTAAAACCATTGGCTAACCAAATTTTGTTTCTTTAAGTATGTATCTATCTATAATTTCATAACTTTGTAGTAAATCATACAATCCAATAATTCTACTGCTCATTTTGGAATTTTTTATGAAAAGCTTTTATTAAACAAAATTCTTCTAAACCCCAAAATCACCAAATATAATCATTGGCCATCAATTTGGTTTTCGCAACTGCCACTCAATGTCTAACAGAGTGATCGCGTCGAAGACATTATTTCCTCCTTCCTCGAGTTGGTAGTGTGTTTTTGAGCCTTTCTCGACGTAAACTAAACTCACTAATTTCGTGGTCCGCTTGACCAATTAATATATCACAATTAATTAAGGTTTTTAGTCGAGATAAAAAAGTCAATGGCACGAGCGGGATTCGAACCCACGATCTTCGGCTAGATACGCCGCTGCTCTACCACCTGAGCTATCGTGACCTCGATCCGCTCGGACATTAACTTCCCATCTCAACCGGTTCGAATCCCGCTCGTGCCATTGATTTTTTAACTCGACTAAAAACCTTAATTAATTGTAAACTAAACTGTTGATCAAGTTGATCACCCGGGCATGCTGCTCATGTTCCTACCCACCACATTCTTTCTATCTCATACTTCACCGATACATATATTGGCCAGTTGATACAAGTCAACAATTTTCGGATTCGCGGCATACGAACTTTACTGATTCATCAGTCAGAAAATTGCGAATCCAGTTCATCGGGAACATCAAACTCACTACCATCGAACGACAACTCTTATGAAGATCCTCCAAGTATTAAATTGTAAGTTGCTTTCAAAACTTCAAAATATAATTAATAAATTTAGGAGAAATCGAAACAACGTAAAAAAATAAAATAAATATAATAAGTATTTTAAATAAATAAATAATTATAAATAAAATAATAATATAATTTTTTTTATTTAATTAATCTTTTATGTAAGGTCTTGGTTGAGATAAAAAAGTCAGGTATCCCGCTCGTGACACTTTTTTTATCTCAACCAAGACCTTTCATAAAAATAATAATTAATTGAAAGAAGTAACTTGGTCAATTGACCACTAAAACATAAATGGATTAAAAGGTAAATGAAGTATCACTTCACTAACAGCTCCCCGTGGCAACTTCTTAAGTCGCTGCGAATCGAATCCTGATTTCACGACATTTGAAAATGGCAAAAAGAGGGAAAATTCGAACGGTTTTGGTTGAGAGGTGGTGGCCGAGAGGATCGAAGTCACGATAGCTGCCGTAGAGCAGCGGCGTATTTAGCCGAAGGTCGTGGGTTCGAATCCCGCTCGTGACACTGACTTTTTTTATCTCAACCAAGACCTTACATAAAAATAATTAATTGAACGAAGTAACTTGGTCAATTGACCACTAAAACATAAATGGGTTAATATATAAATAAAAATGGCACTTAACGTCCTAAAAAAAGAAAATTTAGATATTTTACCAGAATTCCTTGGTGAAACAAATCTATTGTATGATTTCTCACAAATTGCAGATAATTTAATAGAAATTTTTTTCGATAAGCAGGATGTAACGATTTTCAAAATGTATGCCTTGTGAGGAGCACAAAAGCGAAGATTAAAAGCAAAGCAACCGAGGTTATTGGCAGTTTATCATTAGGTTCATGGAATGAAATTAAAACTTCTGTACTAGCAGGATATAGTGACAAAAGTGATAGTTGAAATAGAAATCGAGATGCTACAATTTACGGAAAAACTTATAGATACCCAGAACTACACAAAGAGGGAATACCGAACTATAACCTATATACAATTTTTATATATATACAATTTTTTTATTAAATTAATTTTTTAAAATACCGATTATACCACAACCTCTGGCTTTCAGTGTTTTTTGTGGTATTTATGGGGCTACTATATTAATCAGAATACTATATTAAACTATTGTTTCAAAATGGTTTTTCATATATGTATTTCGTAAAAAATTATTAGAAATGTTGGAATTTTTTTACGTGAAAGGAATCAGTTTCATTACCTAATTACTGTTTTAAAATCTTAGCACCAACTTATTTTGGAGTTTTCATTTCATTTTCGTTTATACATTTCGGTATAAATGATGTATTTATATTAATTTTACAATGAAAACTTGTTTATGAGTAAAAAATCTGTTGATTCCATTTGGATAAAGGTTTTCTTTTGACAAGAAAGTATTAATCTTCTAATTTTTTGTTTTATATATGCAAACTTCTAATTTTCCACGTGGGAAAAGATTACTTATTGACATCTGCAAAATATTTCAAAGTTAGTCCAATATTAGTTTTAAAATTTAGAGGGGAAAAACACCTCTTTAATGCTCAGGAGTTAATGGGAAGTAAGGCGGAGAAGTTAGTTAGATAAAAGATTACCTACTCATTGGTCAAGAAAACACATGTTTATTGTCAAAATTCCAGTGAAATCAAATACAAGACAAGTCAAAAAAGTCAACAAAAAACGGTGAATACCAACGTTCGGTTTACTTTTGGCGAGACAAAGTACAGCCGGGGGACCGAAGGGAATCCATCGCCGTCGCTTGTTACCGTGGACGCTTCCAGAATTGTGTCGCCAGCTTGCCATGGCCTCAAGGAATGCACGAAGACCTCAGCAATACCTGGTGTCACACTACGATTTTCGGTCGAAGGGCTTCACGTAAGTACGACTTAATCTCTTTCTCTCCAAGTCCCCCGGTTATTTTGTCCAGTGGGTCCGGGTCCGAGCTGAGTCACAGCCGTCCCACGCGAATCCTCGCCCCACGCGGCCGTTCGTCCCGTCACAACAGTACCAATCTCGAACCCGGCAGCGATGGGGGTGCCGGCTCACACGATTTTCACGAAACGCACTTTACGAAGGTACGCACTTTGCCAAGGCACGCACATCTGAATATCGGGTCATTTTCGGCGCCGAAAATACTTGTAACATGACAATTTTGACGGATGACTAAAGTGGAAAATTTAATAACCAGGTATCATCTGTTTGTCCATATATGTAGAAAGATCAAGAATTCCTACAATTTTTATTTATTTCAGGGATAAGTTTTTAAATCGGGATCGATTGGGTTTTAATATTATCGACTGTAGCTAGGACATTTTATGAATAGCATTGGTTTATGATCGTAGTCTTATGTATGGATAAATTAATTGAAAGATGTTTATTTCATTGACGGTTCTTACCTTCAACCTTGATTAATTATAATTATAATGAAATATATTAATTGGTCAAGTGGACCACTAAAACTAGAGAATAAATGATAAGGTTCGTATTTATGAATTACATACTTTCACAACAACGATTAAGTACTTAAATACAACAACGACAAAGTATAGCTTAATATAAACATAAAATAAATAATAAAACAAGATGTAGGTATAAATTGAAAATTAAGCTCTCTTAGGAAAAGCCAGAGACTTGTCTTTAGCCCATGAAAAGTTTTTCTTTCCTTTGTAGACAGTACTTAATTCGTGCTTAGAAACGCCTGAAATCGATGTTTTGATCTAATAAGCAACGTTCAAGTGGCAAGTTGCAAAAATCGACTCGCATCCTCCAACGAAAAAACCAACATTTGCAATAGTCGATATAATATTATACTAGTCTTTTTATGTAAGGTCTTGGTTGAGATGAAAAGGTAGTGTTACGAACGGGATTCGAACCCAGGACCTTAGGCTCAATACGCCGCTGCTCTAACTACTTCAAATATCGCGACATCGATCTCCTCGGACACCATCACCCCATCTCAATCTACAATCTTCTTTTTGCCATTTTGTCAAATGTCGTGTAATTAGGATTCGATTCTCAGCGACTTATGAAAATGGCCACGGCGAGCTGTTAGTGATGTGATTACTTCTTTACTTATTATATTAAATCATTCGAATCCCGCTCGTGGCACTAACTTTTTCATCTCAACCAAGACCTCGCATAAAAATAATAATTGATTGAAATAAATTAATAAGGTCAATTATACCACTAAGCATAAATGTATTAATAAAAGTATACGTTAAATACAAAAAAGAACTTTTTGTTTCGTACGACAAAACTTAAGCCCAATGGCAAAGTCTTGATCTTACCAAATTAGAATTGTTGACCTTATTTTTATCTCTCCTGCTTACAATTTTTGAAAAAGCACTTGAAATGGACGAAATCTCTGTTATCAAATGCGCAAATTTCACATAAGAAATTGTAAGCGCCAACAGTCCTCGAACATCCTAAAACATTTTAAAATTAATGATATCAATCATTTTATCGATCTCACAATTCTGAAATGATTGCAAATGTCGACTTACAACCAAACATTTGGAAAACATTACAAAATTGACGATAGCATTATCGAACTTGCACCTCTCGAATGCATTTTGAAAGTGTTTCAATTTCCAGTGGTCGATAAATAGTTATGAACCGAATTTGATACAACAAAGCTAAAACATTTTTTATATGTAACTAAGCCCACGAGCAACGTCCCCCTCTTAGGTTTAGCAAATTGGGTTAATTTTAACATAATGAAATGATATTTATTTACATCTTGTATGCAATCGTGTGCTTACATCCTCCCACACTTTTTCAATGTTCCTATTGACTAAATTTTTCTCACATTAATTGTTAGCAACCAATATTGACTTTATTAGGTATTTATGGCCATGGATTCATGATGAATGGCGTTTACGGTTTTAACAGTGTTTTCACCAACAAACGTTTATAATAGTTCAAGTCGATACTCCAAGTTTAAACTTTTTAAATTCAGAATACATTTTGTGAAGAGATCAAGATATGTGAACCGTATCGTGGTCTATCGGTCAATAACTCGAAGACATCAACATTTATTTGTTTCTTTTTATAGTTATTTGAGAAGAGAAATGAGTAAAAACGACGATAATAGCAAGCGGTCATGTTGGAAAAGGGCAGACAGCACAACTAAGCCCACGCCGACCTCCACTCGAAGTGAACGGACGATGAATGGTCCATGTCGCTGTTTGGTCAAATATAGAAGATTTAATCTTTTACACCCTCTCGAATTAGAATTATATCCTGTATAACAGTCAAACAAGTAAAATATTAAAGGGTTTACGTAACTATTATTTATTTTTTAAATGTGGTTTGTAGGAATCAGTAAACGATTATTTGTGGGATAAACTGTTGTTAACTGGAGGATCACGCCCAACTGGATGCTATAACTAATTCTAGTCTAATTTAGTTAAGAAATTAAACAAGGATAAAATAGAGAAAAATATATAGGTAAATAGATAGAAAATCAGTAAAGAGATAGCCAAATAGAAGAGAGAGAGAAAGAGAGAGAGAGATTGATAGAGTTTTATTTAGCCACGCAGAATTACGTCTTTTGGACCTCTCTTACATACAACATAGATTACAATTTACATATAAACGTGATAATATGAAAAACATTAAATAATCTGCTTTATATACCAATAAAAACACTGTAATAAATAACGTGTGTGGTGTTTAGTGACCGTTAGTCAATATGATTATTCGGAGATCGTGAGATGCGGTCTAGTGTGACGTAGGTTTAAAAAAAAAAATTTCTTTATCATGCCAACGTTTCGATCTTTATTGAGATCATCTTCAGGGCTCAAAGTGTTTGTTTTCTGCCTAATCGTGGCGTCATTCTTGTGTGTCCTGTTGAGAGTGTATTGTATCTCACTGGCACTCTCAACACGACACACAAGAATGACGACACGATTAGGCAGAAAACAAACACTTTGAGCCCTGAAGAAGATCTCAATAAAGATCGAAATGTTGGCACGATAAAGAAAATGTTTTTCTAAAACCTACGTCACACCAGACCGCATCTCACTATCTCCTAATTAAGTAAGTCCTAAGTATTAAATAACATTACTATTTTCAATCGGAATGTGTATTAAAACATAATTTAAAAAAATAATGTCAACAAATATTTGGGAGAAAAAAATTAAAATTAATTGTAGAAAATATTGTAAGAAAAGTGATGAACAAGACTAATTGTAAGTAAAATTAGTGCAAGTAATTCACTTTTGAAGTAATTATTTTTGAGGTTTGTTTTGGATGAATTAGTTTTTTCCAGGTGTTTAATTTCTTTAGGTAATCCATTAAACGCTTCTGCAGTTTGCGGAAGAAAAGAGTTTTATTATCATTATTTCGTTTGTTCTACATGTTGGAATGGCAATATTTTTTTTTCTTTTCTGGCACAATATCTAACTGGCTCATTAAACATTTTTATTTTTTCTTACAGATATATGGGTTGACTCGTTTTTAATATTTATTGAAAATAGTTTAATTTATGTATTGTTGGAAGCCATTTATTCATAAGGTTATAACTTATCACTTACCATATTTAAAGGGAGAGGGAGGGAGAGAGAGAGAGAGAGAGAGAGAGAGAGAGAGAGAGAGAGAGAGAGAGAGAGAGACAGACAGAAAAAAGGAAAGAGAGAAGAGGGAGAGTATTAAATTTTTAATTTTTATGGAAAACATAATCGACTTTCCAGTGTCATTGTCTGCTAAAAATTGACGTAATGTAAGGATATAAGCAGGGTGAGTGAATCAAGCTGTCTCTTTCCTTTATTTTTCATTCATTTCATTTATTTTATCTGGCTTAAACGGGCAGAAGCGGCACTTGCAATATTGGTTTATTCTAGTTTAAGAAAACAATGTACTTTGCTTTTACATATATATAAAAATATGTATACTTTATTGAGCTATGGATAAAACGAGCAGACCATTCTGGACCAAAACCTGCCCCATTATGATGCAATAGCATGTCATTACACTATTTTATCCATAGTTCGCTTTTGCAGCCCTTTTGTAATAATGAAGATAGCAAATCGGAATTTTACATTTTATTCCTTCAGATATCCTCGATGCAATTCTTATCAACTATGGCGTTTAAAGATTGGTAGGGTGCAAGTTAGATAAATGATATGAATTTCATGTTTCCTGACCAATGATTAGGAGGAGCATAGAAAAAAACACCAAATAAGGCAAAAATAAGTACGTAGAATGAAATCAGTCGGAGAATTAGAAGGTTCAATAGGGCAATTGTTGATAATGAGAGAGAGCTAGAGATAGTAAAGACAGATAGAAAAAGAGCCCTCTTCAGCCCACAGACTTTTCATTCTGCCATTTAAAGCTCGTTTGTAACAGAAGATCTGATTTTAGCATGGTCCGATTATCAACCGAGATTTTTACATTTCATAACCATTTCACACTTTCACACTCGGGTTTTTAATTTAAAATTTTAAAATTTGAATGCTTTTTAACTTTAATTACATTATGATGCGAAATTTATCTATTTTTTTATACGGAATATTATTAAAAGACGTGATCTAGTAGTTATTTTATAAAGCTAATAATAGGATATATTTTATCGACTGATTATATCGAAAAGAAAAATTCACTAATTTTAGACAGTCATATTATTAGTCCACCATTTTATCCAGTAAACCATAATTTTCCTTCATCTTTACAAAACTTAAACGATATTAGTTGAAAAAAAATTACAGACGATCAAATTGTACATTTTTACTAAAGTGTTTCTAAATGGACTAATAAGCTTACATCCAGCCTTTATTTAAGCAAGTTGTAAGTTTTGAATGGCAAAATTAACTGTTAAAAATCTCATATTTCGAAATATTGGTTTGAAAAAGTGTTTTAACACTTTTTTATAAAACAATAAAGTTATCATTATGATTTGTTACAATTAATTCGGAACATTTCAATTCTACAAAAGTCCACGATCTCTTTTTGAAATATGATAAATTAGTGTATACGAAAATATGAATTTTATTTTGTTTATACTTCATTTATGTACATGTACAACTATATACATATTGCATATGTATAGTATTGTATGTACATTATGTACGAACAGCAAATTGGATTTCTGTTTGTGAGTGTCTCACTTTTAGAAAGAGTAGTCTTTTAATGTAGTCTTTGAATATTGGAATATTTTACTGAGCAGAAAACTAGGCTCCCGTACATCTTTGTAGGGTTGAGTAGGTAAATTTGTGTTGAAAGTTTTGATTTTAATGATAATTTTGACTGTCGGTTCGGTAGGTAATAAAGCATTTTAAATTGTTTATGTATGTTTATTTTAATCGTATATGTGGAGTCCGACTAGACTTCTGTTAAATTAAATTACAGGTTTGTTATATATCCTAGGACAAGCGTCACAACGGAGTGAAAAGGTGCTGTGTTGTTACTTTGTGGAGTACACTTTTTTTCCAAACATTGTTCCATTTTTGTTCCATTGTTGGCATGTGGTTTTGTAATATGGTTGTATAGAAGAGGGGTTACTTGTTAATACCGCGGTGTCATCTGCGTATGTGGCAGTAAGTGTATTCTGATTTATGGGCATATCAGAAATGATAATCGTATACAACAGCGGAGCGAGTATTCATCCCTGGTCACTTCTGCAATCACAGTCTCTGATCTGGTTCACTGCGAAAAATCTCCACTTGAGATATGATTGTATAGTCATATCTGATTATGGTCTGGGGTTATTTATTATTTTATTCAGTTATTAATTATTTTAATTCGTATAATAGCCCTTTATGCCATACTTTGTCGAAAGCCTGAGGAAAAAACACTCCAATCGCGTACAGTTTCTGCTCGAGACATGAAGTAATGAAATTGTAACTGTGAAGGTGATGAGAAGTACAGTGATGTATTCCAAAGCCAAATTGATGGCCTGGTAAGATGTTCGAAATAGCAATGGAGATAATTCACTTATGAATTTTTCGGATAATTTTTACGCACCGGGTAACAAACAAATAGAACCCTAAGATGAGCTTAAATTTTTATGTAGCTTTGGAATCATTTTAATATAAGAAAGTTTCCATTATACGGGAAATAGTATAGTTCTCAATAATGCATTAAATCAAGACGGCAGGAATACAACAGGTTTTTTGGGAAGTTTTTGAAAACTTCAGCTGTTATCAAATCATATCAGTTGATTTTTTTAATATGTACTACGAACTTCAAACAATTGTTATTTAATTAACCTCCCTTACATCTTAAATGTCTTTTATGCAATATTGAATATAAGATGATAGTCCGTGTTTCAATTAAAAAATAGGGTGTAATAAATAAAATAAAACAATATAAAAGGGTTTTATTTTTATTTCCTTACTAAATGTTTCCTAGCAATAAAAAGATTGTACTTGCAAGACTGGTCGAGGTTATGTCTTTAACATAGACTATTTTTCAACATAGAAAAAGTTAGGCATGTGCAAAAAAATATCAAATACAGAAGTATGCCGAAGAATATAAGATTTCCTTGAGTTTAGAAATTTTCTCGTAGGTACTTGTTGCTGGTAACATCCAAATGGGAAATCTTACATCGTACATTGGTGTTGAAAAGTTGGTACCCCTGGTCCGTTTCGCACGAAAGATCTCAGGAGTGAAAGCGGCACTAGCAAGATCAGTCACAGTAGCTGGTGTGCCTAGCTCGATGAGACCACATCACCGTCCTCGCACGACTCCGACTCATGGATTACTAAAAACAACGGTAAAACAACTAAAAGTGAAATTATTCTTTAGAGTTGACTGTCATTCCTTTGCGTTTGAATATGGTCCGAATTCAATTTTTCCCATTTATGAAGTTCACTGGATATCGCTTTTCCTGTTTAGTTTCGCTCCCTTTTAATGGAACTGTGTCTAATCAATCGGTCAATTTATTCTGCTGGAGACAAAAACGTCAATTATCTCATAGCCGAACGTGCATAACGGTGAATTTTCTTCGGTTTTGCGATTGCGAAATAATAAATGCAGAAAATCAACTTTGAACAACAAAAATGTTCGATAACTATTTACAAAGAAAGTCTTGAAATTGCTTATATAAACAATTATATATTCAGGCTGGTAGTCTGATTGTCTAAACCAATTTAAAATTCGGATTTTACTTTTAACTCTCGCAACCACAATGAAAAAACAAAAACAAATTTAATTGTTATCTGCTAAGTTTTCGACCTATTGTAAGGTCATCATCAGGCAAAACGATCTTAAAGATGTATATAAATAGACAAAATTAATTTTTTAATAAATGGCTTCAAATTTCTCTGAAGATAGCCCAATTATCTCGCCAAGTTTTCCAATATGAGAAATCATTTGGAAAATTCATTTCCTAGGGTGAAGTTGATGTAGCTTTGTAATACTGGAAGAAAAGTGGTTCAGACATCCTTTACTTATCAAGATAGTACTGACTGTTAACAACCGTCTGCAATAATGCTTCATAAATTGTGATCTCTGCTGTAAAAAGCTTCGTCTCAAAACCAGACAAATGTTAATCTAGATCAATCTTCAAAAAATCGTTTAAAAGTCGGAATTCTTCGCTTATATTATATAAACTTATATAATATATTTGTGTTATATGGTGTAAAATTGCTGATGGACAAAAAATGGTAGTTCTAGGTTTCTTTGCTTAACTGGTTTCTATTTATCCATAGACATTGGTTTTAATTTTTTGAAGAACTCCAATATTGTTTCTCTTTAGTCAAATGAATGCATTTCGGACTAATTCTAATTACCCCCTTCAGCTGACGATGTTTCGGCTTACACTCCTGTATTTAGGTCTAAAGTAATATCCCAAGTTAACATGCTCTAAATTTTAAAATTTACAATAAAACATTTTATAAAATGGCTCCGGTATAAATTGTCTAATAACATTATTATTTGAAATAAAAAGTCTGTACATCTTCAACAAGCGAAAAATAGCGGACCCACACTGTACACTGTATGGATAAATTAAATCAAATTAAAATAGAATATACACTTAATGTTTCTTCGGGGTTATTTGCCATTCAAAGCAAAAAATTCTGTTTTATCTAAGTTCTAATTATTTTACTATTAACGCTTTATATGTAGGACTTCAGTTAGCAAAATGTGTTTAATGAGGAATGATGTTCATTCAAACCTTTAGTTTTTTGTAAATTTTTGTGAAATTAACTGAATAAAGGCTAATACACTTTTACTCTCGGTCGTGGAACAATGCCACCACTATTCCTACATCATATCCCTTCTTACCACGTCCGTTACCTTGGGATGTACATCGACAAAAGACTTGGAATCCACATACAAGACTAAAAAAAGCAAGAACGGACTAGACGTTACACATCATCCTCATTATTACGAGACAAACGATCTGACGTTTCACAATAAACGATAATATAGTACGATAATAAAGACCATTGGACGTACGGCATTGAACTGTGGAGTTCAACCACACTTTCGGATAAATTATGACCTATTAAATAGTCGTGATATCTTAAATGATCTTAATATGTAATTTAGAAGTATTTTAATAAATTCGTGATGTAGGGTACATTAAATTTAATTGGCCGTACTTTTTGTCTGGATGTCAATTACTTTGACTGAGCTGCAGTGTTGGGCATATGCATTTGATCAAAAAATTTGTTGATGACTTTCTTTAACCGGAAGAATAAGAGAGCATCTCAAAGGATAAGCTTTCTACATGGTCTACCACATGTTTTGTTTTTACTTTTCATGAATAGTCAGTCAGTGCATCGGTTGCAATGCATCGATTTCTACGCTGGAAGAAAGTTAAAAATTCTTTGTCGAATAACAAAGCTCAACAGGTTTTCAGTAGATTAGTACATTGTAGTTTTCCGTAAAGTTGAAAGTTTTGATTGAACATTGTTTTCAAATGCAAAACGTTGTATTATTCTTTTATAAATTGTCATTTACTTTCTGCACCTTCTTTAGTGGTTTTTTTGAACTAATAGCTTCTTTCTAGATTAGGCCAGGCTTAAATTTTGACCTCGAAAGTATAAACGAGATGTGATTCGAGTTCTTTGTTACCGTGAACAATAAAATATGTTACAACTGCTGACAGAAAAAAAAACAAAATACATCGCATCAGTTGTTTCTCGAGTGTTCTGTTTTTAGAGTAAAAAGAAATTGGCTATTATGTTTCCATAGTTGATTTAACCTTTCGTGTACTGTCGTCTTTGTTCTGAATCGGTTGGAGTTTTGATTTTTGAGGAAGTGGCCGCAATTGGGACGCCGTCGTAATGTCTCCGAAACCAGGGAGGACACGCTGCTCTGGTAAACAGGAAAATTGCTTCATGTTCTTCAAACCTTGAAGAGCCCTGAAGCCCGACATGTGCCAGAATCTGTCCACGTACGCGCCGACGACTCGTCGAGTCTAGTTTTTCGCCTGCTATGATTTCCGTTTTTTTGAGAGGCTTTTGTCAACTGTCTTGTTATGGATAAATTGTAATTACAAAGCGACACATGGCCATGAGAGCTGCGAGATATAAAACAAAATCACATGATCAACTTCCGGCCTTGTATAACAAAGTTTTCAAATCCCAACCCCTGTTTTTTTCGGCTTTTCGTAAAAAAGACTCTGTGAATCTTAACCGGCTTTTTAAAACGTATTCATGTTCGCCATATCTTTCTCACAAGTAAGTATTATAAATAAATAATTTAGAGTAGAATTAAAGTAATATTCATAGTATTTTAATATTTAATTCTCACCATTAACAACCAAAAAAATATTAAAATGCTTATTATTTATTGGTAATAACGCTGTTTACCGCCAATATTAAATATAAATCAACCCTCATATGTTACCTGACCAAAATTAGTACCATTTTTCTAGTCTCTGAAGTTCAATGAAACTCGATTAATAATCCCCTTTCACGGATATGGGCATAATGGCCCATTATTAGCCCGCTCCGATATCTGGAAATTGTGGAGGAATAGGCCTGGGAAATGGGGAATCGCTGTGGTCAGGTTTTGGAAACGTCAATTACCTCTTAATCCAATTCCCATTAGTTTTTCATATCTCTACCTCTTTCCCTCATTTTCCTTCTATTTCCTTAAAATTCCAACTGGAGAACGGACAATTGGGTCTTGTAAGAGGAATTTTGATAAGTTCTTAATATCAGTACAACAAATCCATTTGATCACTCCAGATCAAGGTATGGAGTTGAAGAAGAAAGCAAATTCAGTTGTTCCTGCTAAACTTTCGACCTAAGACATATTTTAAAAAGTTTTGACCTGATGATGACCTTAAAATAAAAGCTTGACAACAATTGAATTTGCTTTCTTCTTCAGAGTGTTCGTGAGTGAAAAAGAAGTCGATGCTAATGCTGAAATCCAATCGAAATTGGTAAATAGATAAAATGTAAGATCTATTAATTAATGATATCCCTATAATTAAAAAGCTAGTTGAAAAATCATTACATGCAATCTCAAATAGATATTGTTGGATGTACAAATAAGGTAATATTGTGTGTCTTTTTGGGGGCTTTGCTCCCCCTCACTCCCGTTTCACTTTCACTCTCTCTTCTCTCTCTCCCTTTTTCTCTTTCTCTCACTCTCTCTCATATTCTCTCTATTTATCTATTACTTTAGTTATGTTTCACCCACATTTTTTCTCAAAATAACACGCGCACAAACACGTACACCAACCACCCTCTCTACCTCTGTTTTCCATTAAAAAAAATAAAAATATTCTCTCTTTCTCTCTCTCCCTCCCTCTCTTTCTCTCTCTCTCTCATATTCTCTCTATTTATCTATTACTTTAGTTATGTTTCACCCACATTTTTTCTCAAAATAACACCCACAAACACGTTCACCATTCACCCTCTCTACCTCTGTTTTCCATTAAAAAAATAGAAATATTCTCTCTCTCCCTCCCTCTCTTTCTCTCTCTCTCTCTCTCTCTCNCAAACACGTTCACCATTCACCCTCTCTACCTCTGTTTTCCATTAAAAAAATAGAAATATTCTCTCTCTCCCTTTCTCTCTCTCCCTCCCTCTCTTTCTCTCTCTCTCTCTCTCTCACTCTCTCTCTCTCTCTCTCTCTCTCTCTCTCTCTCTCTCTCTTTCATATTTTCTCCTTCGGTCTATCTCTATTTATCTGTAACTCTAGTTATATATCATTTACTCATATTTTTTTCAAAATAACACACAAACACCTACACCAACCACTCTCATTATATTTCTTCCTCTATCCCTCTTTCTTTCTCAGTCCTCTTTTAAATTTTTAACCATATATTTTACCTATAACCAACTTAGACGTTGGATGTAAGAGTGGTCAAGGCAGAGCAAATCAAATTTTTCTATATCTCTATCTATCTATATATCAATCAATGTCATTTCTATGTCTCTATATTCTCTCTCACTTTCTCTCTCTCTCTCTCTCTCTCTCTCTCTCTCTCTTTCTCTCTCTCTCTTTCTCTCTCTCTCTCTCTCTCTTTCTTTCTCTCTCTCTCTGTCTCTTTCTCTTTCTTTTTTTCTTTCTGCGTATCTCTTTGTTTTTCCCCAAAATCACTAACAATCTATCCACTACGTAATTCCATTTAATTAGTACATCCTCTTAACTCTCTCGACCTTTTTTCTGACAGTCGTTTTAATTTTGCCAAAACAAATTTTTTGAATAATTGAAAATGATGGTCCTTGGTCACAAACTGGTATCGCAGTGATCCGGATTTCGAGCTGTAATCGCTCATCAGTCAATGCAAGTTAAATAAAAGTTACA